TACAGCACGCACGGGCACGGGGGGACTGTTATAATGAGTTAAATTAAACACGATATAATCTGTAAAATTAGACTTATTCTCTCGTGTACTTGTTTCACTAAAATTTATTTCAATTTATCATATGTTTATAGAATAAGGGCAAACGAGCACACGGTCCACCTGATGGTAAGTGGATCTTGAAGTTCATAGACAGATTTATCCTTATGATTAAGTAACAAAATGCAATTGTCACCTCTGAGGACTAAGATGGAATAATTCGTTTCCAATAAAAAGGGTCTCCGGTGTCCTACACTCTTCATACGAAACACAGCAGTATTAAGCCGCTATTTTAGAAACAAAAGAAAAAAAAAACATTTATTGCATACATTTACGGTAGTATTTTTTTAGAACATGGTGGACTTTCTCTGGTCAAGCCGACCCATTCGTGCTACCAACTGTAACTGTAGCGTAGCTCTACCATGTCGAATTGTTTCGCCTCAAGATATCAGAATAATCGCGATTGTACTCTGTTCTCTGTTTTTTTATGTTGACAAATTCTCCGATACACAACAACCATAGAATACAAGTTTTTCCACAATGGAATATATTAAAAATATATTGACCAATCTGTAAACAGAGCGATGGAAGTAACACGCACACACAAAACACTCATCCACAAAGTCATAACAAACATAAACACCATTTTGCAAGTCCTACCACCCTTCCTCTTGTTATACTCTATTTAAAAAAAACATAATTTCAGCACTATCCAAACAAAACCATCACTTAAATCTCAACAATACAGAAATTAAATCAGCGGACAGTACTCATGTATATAAATTCTTACTTCACTCCTCGATTTGTTCTTTAATCGAATCATCGCAAGCGTACACTTTGATTTCAGCGAGGGAACTACTTATCGCAACCATATCTCGATAGTTTATCGATAACGTAACGCGGCGATTCGATAATTATTTATCTTTTACGTCTCATGTAATCGTAGATTTATATTTGCGTTTTAATAAAAAAATTTAATAATAGAATCAGGCGTTATTTTAAGAAAATCTATTATATTAAAGATGTCAGAATGAATTAGTTAAGAGCGGCGTTATAAAATAAAATGATGTGTCGAACCTAGTTTAAAGAGCGCCTACCGCCCTTCCTTAATAGGGTATTACACCCATTTTCAAAAAGTGTTTTAAATTAATCCTAGAGTGATAATGAACCACTATAATTTTAAGTAATTTTTTTAAAACCGAATAGTGCCATAAAATTACTTTTAATCTATCGTTTTGAATTTTCGCGTGAAAACGCTAGCCGCCATGCTGTTCAACTCGTGACGTCACTGCCCTAGAATTTTGCCGGTTTTGCAAAGGAATACTTTTGATGTTTAATACTGAGTTATCATCTATATCATTGTTGTGTTGTACCTGAATGCAAAAATACGAGCAATAAACGAAAATTGGTAATAGGTAACTTACATTGATGTTTTAACATTCCTCAACTCAGCAGAACAACAATTGGGATTGCATGCAAAAATGTTTGCCACCATCAATTTATTTATCCTTGGTAGATTAGTACTTTCTGCTTTTACGAATTCGTCTTCGATCCATGATGTCTTTTTAATAAAATTCGGAATAAAACTCAATAATCGTATTGTAAACTTAAAAAATTTCGAAATAACACCGCACATTAGCTTTAGCTAGTAGTAGTAGCATTAGCTAGTTCTCTTACTCAGTGACGTCACGACAGTCTCCAATGTGGCGGACAGCGGTTTGCAGATTTAAGGCGCAGACTAAAAAAATATTTTTGAAATAGAAATATAAAATTTATAATGCAATTTTATAAATAGAAATCAGTATTTCTTATTTACTTTTACAAAATCTATCATAAATATATACTTTTTGATTTTTTTGCATGGTGTAAAATACCCTATTGCATGTCATCACTAATCCACATAATGGAAGTAGTGTTGTTGGGATCAGTAGTGACGGGTATAGTGCAGTAGAGATTACGGGAGGGCCGGAGGTGCTTTTCAAACTAGGTGAGACAAAAGACACATCATTTTATTTAATTAAGCGTATCTTAGCTAATTATTTTTAACATCTTTTGTTTATTAAACTGTTGATTATTTGTGGAAAATTTAGTACAAGTGTTTTGAATTCGTCTGTTATTAGATACTAAGACGGAAACTAAGTGGAGGCCAGCACGATTCACACACCAGTATCGGTATTTATAATCAATCGATATCAGTAATTCTGTATAATTGTAACATGAGTTATAATTTTTGAAATTAATTAGCCCAATTCGGTTATACATTGCATCGTGCGTATATATATATATATATATATATATATATATATATATATATATAATACATAACATCGGAAGTCTTCTGAACATAGAATTGAAGTAATGCCACAAAGCACGACCCTGAGCCACACGCATCCATCAACATCCTGAATGTCAGCCAAGTCATCACTCCATTAAGTGAGACAGGCCGCCGTATATTGTATTTACACAATTAATTTATCTATTTAAATAAAAAACTTGAAAATTGCTTGAACTTGAGATGGAATGTCTCGTTTCCAGTAAAAAGGGTCTCCGGTTCTATTCACTCACCATACGACACACAGCAGTATTGAGCTGCTGTTATAAAATAGTATTCTGTGAGAGCGTGGTCCTACTCCGGTCGAGTCGACCCATTCGTGCTTCAACCATAATATAGCTGCAGCGTGGCTCTGCCACGAAAAACGATACGGCAGCGATATTACACGGCTTCCGATAGATCGCGTTATAATCATCTCGTTACAGCCAGGCGTAAACACCAACACCGGCGCTGGGAAGCAGCGTCGAAGAAACTCACGCCTAGTACTGCGATCGTTATTCCACCTGCCAAGTGTGACGATTAAGGCCCTCTCTACATCTGGAGAGGCCCAGACCATATATATTAAGGGGGAGAAGAATCCTCTCCCAAGGAGGTGCTGATAAGGGGTGACCGGCGCCGACCGGCGGTCGCGCCTGTGTGTGAAAGCGTTCCCGTGGCTCTGCCAATATGCGGCGAAGGTGGAACGCCATGAAATTTAATCAATACGAGTTTGACATAAACCACGAGCCCCGTAGCCACGAGGCCCGTATGCGTAGGCATACCCCCATGTAAAAAAATACCATATCATAATAATAATGTCCTCCAGACCGAATTTCGGTCACGGCGGCCTGGCTCAACAGAGACTAGCCATAGGCGCAGAACAGGATTATAGTGCCCAAGTGTATACGTGAAGGTGCACTCTCTATTCCCTTGGTCAGGTGCGGTTTTTCCTACCTCCGGGCAGCTACTGAGTTTCTTAATGGAAAACCCAATAAATAATATTTTTTGTCCCGACCCGGGGATTCGAACCCGCAACCTCATGTTCAGCAGTCGCACTACTACAACCACTAGACCAACGAGGCACCATATCTGATATGGGGTTGACTACCTATATATTCGGTCGGCGAATTTTTTTATAGGTGTCGTTTTTATAATTATATAATATAATTTTTGAAAGAGAAGAAAGTAAAACGATATGTGAAATAAGAATAGAAGGGTAGTTGATCGAGCAAGTAGATGAGTTTGTATATTTGGGTGGCGTATTTAGCAGGGATGGGAGATATGATAAGGATATTGAACGACGAGTGAATGCAGGAAATAAAGTAAATGGGGCCCTACACTCTATTGTGAAAAGTCAGAATGTGTCAAAAAAGACACGTATGGCAATTCACAATGCTGTGTTGGTCCCTACTTTAACGTATGGTAGTGATAGTTGGGTGTGGCAGAAGCAGCACGAGGTAGAATAAATGCAGTAGAAATACGGTCGTTAAGGAGTATGTTAGGGCTGAATCTGAATGACAGGGTGAGAAATTGTGTGATAATAGAAGAGTGTGGTTTGCAAGATGATGCGGTGGTCACAAGACCAGGATTAAGAAAAAGAAAGAATGCTTCGGTGGTTTTGTCATGTGGAAAGAATGAATGAGGAAAGAGTGACAAAGAAAATTTATGGTGCAGAAGTGAATGGCAGAGTCGGAAAGGGACGTGTCCTAGGCGAAAATTTATTGACCAAATCAGCGATTTATTGAAAACGGGCCAAATTAGGAGTACCCTTAACCGACGAGCATGTATGCGTAGGTATATGGATGTGAAGGAGGTGAGAGAGGTGTATCAGGATCGTGCCAAATGGAAGTCTGTAGTCTCTGCCTACCCCTCTGGGTGACAGGCGTGAGTGTTTATGTATGTATTTACGTCGTTTTTATACTTTTGCTTTATACCGTGTACTAACGGTGTAAGAGAAGACTTTATGGAACTGAAATAGGAGATGGACAGCAACATCTTAAAATAAATAATGAAAAAATGTGTTTGCGTAAACATTTATAGACTACAACAGATTATACATAAGGTAATATAAACATCAATTTATATTTTTTTGTACATAAGCAGTATTTATTTTTTATAGGTTTTTAAACTTAAACTGACTGATTTAAAAAAAAACTTTTACTAATGATGACGTCATAAAGTATGCTGAAGAGTTTGCTACCTGTTTCAAGTATAAAAAAGTAATAATAAATCAAAGCATATTAATCTACCTTCGATATTAAAGCGATACGGCACGGGCAGCTCGGCAGTTATGACAATGTAAGCGATACGGCACGGGTAGGTCGGCAGTTATGACAATGTAAGATTTCTCGTGGAAGTGTAGGACCTCTCGCCACTAAATTGAGTGACGACCTAGCAAGACATGCAGGAAGTAGATAGATGTATAAATCTCAGGACCGTGCCTTGTGGCATACCCTGGGGGAGGCCTATTTTCAGCAGTGGACTTGTGAAAGACTAATAATGATGGTGATTTCTGGCCAGTTAATAGTTTCCGAATTTTCGTAAATCATCGTTATCAAACTGTAAAGTCAACTCTCAAACGCAAACGCTGCATCCAAATTTTCAGAGTTAAAGCAAAATGGTTGTATAGAAAGAAGAAGGATAAATATATTACCTCGCTTCCGTCTAGAAGCAACGCGGGCGAGTCTTCTCGTGCGTCGGTCGCGTCACGCCCTTCCCTCGGGCAGCCTTCGTCTTCGGAATTGAACCCCAACTCTTCACCGTAGCACGAGTACACCTGAAAAACACTTAGTTTATTAATTTATCTGCAGCTCTAATGCGCAGAAGTTTGGTTTTAGCTGCAGCGCTGGGGAGTCGAAGAATTTTTTTTTATAGAATAAGGGTGACAAACGAGCACTCAGTCCACCTGATGGTAAATGAATGCTGTGGTCCATAGACATCTACATTTATTTTGGATAAAGAATCAAAACACAGATGCGTTGTAACCCCTTAGAATTAATATGGAATGACTCGCTTACAGTAAAACGGGTCTCCGGTTCTCTACACTCACTATATGAAACAGCTGCAATGAGCCAGTGTTTGACGCTCGTATTCTGTGAGAGCGTGGTCTTTCCCCGGTCGAGCCAAACCATTCGTGTTCCAACTAGTTGGGGGGGTTGGTGTGTGTTGTGTGTGGGGGGTTTGGTGGGGGGGTGTTATGGTGTGGGGGGGGGGGGGGTGTGTGAATAATATAGCTGCAGCGTGGCTCGACAACGTATGAATTTGTATATCAAATAGTGTATTCAGATCCAAATAAAAAAAACTTACATACAGTTAGTGATTTCTTAAATTTACGCGAACACTACACATTGAATAAAACTATATATACGGATTTTATCGCGTTTAATTAACTTATTTTTGGATGCTTTACAGCAAGCACTCATGGGCACGGGGGGACTTAGATGTTTGACGTCCCAATGTCATAGTTAGCCCATCTACCTTCAGTTTTATAATATTAATTCTGCGTAGATCGGACTAAAAATGAAGTAAACAAACAGTTATAAAGACAAACCCAAAATACTTCATTTTATTTCTGTATCACCTCGAGGTAGGTAGACTGGTAGACATTGTCTCAAGAATTAAATCTGCTTACATGCCACGTGTATATAAAGTTTAAAATAAATAAATAAACTGGTAACACATAGATTCTTTACCTATACAGGAATAATTCACTTGAAAATTGTGCGCTAATACTTTAAGTACTGAAAACGGTTCTTCTCTGGTAAGGTATTGTTTTTGCAAACTGATGCAGATTTTTACGTACGTAAGAGCTTTAAACAAGCTTACGTTGAAAGAATTAAAAGTTGAAACTAAAGTTGAGTTGGAAGTTATAAAAATATGGCGTTTTGCATATTCATGCATATTGCATGCATTACAATAATCTCACAAACATAAAAAAATATTATGAAACATTTTTCTCCACGTCAGCCATCACGCTATATCACCCCGTGGCCGTCGTAAGTGGTGATTATAAGAAAAATCAGTAAGTTCACTAAACTTACCGAAGACGAGGAGCAGCCTGTCTCCATTTCTCATGTTTTTTTTACTTTTAGTTTAATTCTCAACACGCCAGCGTTCAATAAGCATCTTGTTGTAATCCAAAATTAATAAATAAAAAAATATTTTTCTAAAATTTTTATAACTACGATAAACGATAATATACGAGTAGTGTAAGTGCAGCCACAAGCAAGGCATCGTGCAAACGCTTGCTATGGAATCGTTTCCTGGTGTTGCAGAAGTAGCTTGTCGATTAACATTTTTATATCCTAAATTTCTAACTGTATATATATAATATATATAGGGCAGCATTAAGCATACATAAATATATATATTTATATATCTTGTATATATATCTATATAATAATATATGTGTATAATTATGTTTATAACATGTAATGCAATATGTAATGTATACTACTTAAAAGTACTACTACTTAAAGATACTCAGTTGCACTTTGCACCCACAATATCTTCTCTGCTTAGCCTGGAGGTAGACTGGCAGAGAACGCCTTTTTGCATTAAGTCCGCCTTTTTGTACTCGGTGTGCAAATAAAGCATAAATAAATAAATAACTTAGAATTTATAAAATATTTACCGTTTTTATTCCTGACTTTAAGAGTCATATCAATTATAACATTTTAATTATGGAGTGGAAAAGTTAATTAACAATAGATCGTACCTTTTGTTACAACCGCAACCTACTCTCTACTGCGTCTAACAAAAACTGATCTAAATATCGACCTTGATGTGTCAAAATGTTCTCTATTTATACAACGCGTTTACCACGGATCTACGAAATAGTGTCACGGATTTTTTTATCATTGACTCAACTGGACATGAACATCTACCTGAACCGTTGAATTTCTTTTAAATATAAAATAAGGGTAACAAACGAGCACACAGTCCACCCGATGGTAAGTATAGATACCTGAAAAATTATATTAGCAGTTTCCATGCCAATATTGATAGGTACGTAACTTGTGATAGTATGTTTAAAAGATTATTGTATATTTCCTTTGTATTGAAACTGAAGATCAAGTAAAGGTCGATTGAGCAAATTAATGCATTTTACTATCTAAAGAGATTGAAATATATATATATTATATATTTCTGTACGGCTGGACCAATTTCTATAAACTTTTGGGTTCTTTTTTGTGTGTTGAGTGGGTCCATGGAAGGTTTAGTCACAAATGGCTCCAGTAGGTGACGCTGTTGTCGAAACAATTTCGCAGATCAGTAACCATTTTGAAATTCAAAGCGGCTGAATGTGGAAAACAACGCCGTCAAACGTCGAATCAATCCAACTTGTCTCGTATTCGCATAAAAATGCACATATTTCATATCGTCACTTCGTTGAATAAAAAGCTACTTAGCCCAATTCGTATATTGTCAGGTTTTAGGGTTCCGTACGCAATGCCTATTAATATCTGCCTGTCAGTTTGTCCGCCCGCATGGATATTTTGTAAAATGTTGACTCGAAACGGATCTTTATTTTGAAATTCAATTAAACTGGTTTGCAGGAGGAGGGGTCCCCTTACAATAAAAGTAGCCAAAAAATTAATTTGTTTCTTAATCAAGCTCGTAATATCGACCAGTTCAATTTTTTTTAAAATCTTAACGTTGTTTGGAAGAGATCGCACTTTGGCGATTATATAGCCTTATCTCTTTGTTAATTTTATTTTGTTGTGTACAATAAAGTATATACATACATACATACATACATATATACACGTAAGCAAGTTATTGCTTGCAGCTTATAAAGGAGAGTAAAGTTACGGCCTATATACATCCCCAGCTGGACACACACCTCCTCGCAATTCTGGGAGGTTTTTAGGGCAAAGAAAGTTCCGCCACGCTGCCTCAATGCGTGTGCAACGTGAATTTCACATGCCTTTGAAATAGTTTCTTTCTTATTTCTCAGACATGCAGGTTTCCTCACGATGTTTTTCTTCACCGCCGAGCACCTGGTAAATCAGCACTTAAAATTGCAATTAACAATGTCATTAGTGCCGGCGGGTTACTGGCGTACTGTGAAATTTACAGCAGGCGCTTAGACCCTAAGCTACAACGGCTTTTAAAGCAGAGTAAAATTATATATGTAATTTAGGTACTCAAATTTACCTTCAAAAATAAAGAAATGGTAAACCATCAAAGTTGTCGGTTTTAGTACGGGATCTATCTCAAAAACTGCTAGGAGTTACAAAGTGGTAAGACCTCTTTACTGCCTATGAGCTCGTCCGGGTAGACACCACCCTCTGACCTATTTCTGTCATCAAATGGCAGCGCTTGCACTGCTGTTTGAAGTCTGAACCGAAAATAAAGGCTGCATAGTGATTTTATTATGCAAGCTTTGATCTTACGCTGAGGACGCTCAAGGTCGCTCAGCGAGCTATGGAGAGGGAGTCAGCCCGGTCTGAATGTTATAAAGAACCAGTATAATAATAGGCTGTGAGGCATTCCATCAAGTCCTCAGACGTGACGACGCATGTAAAGCCCTGTATTTAAAGATGGTTTAGATCATCATCATCATTACAGTCCTTAAAAAGTCCACTGCTGAACATAGGCCTCCCCCAAGGAATGCCACAAAGCACGGTACTGACCTGAGCCACCTGCATCTATCGACTTCCTGCATGTCTTACCAGGTCGTCACTCTATCTAGTCGGGGGTCGCCCTACACTACGCCCACCAGTACGTAGCCTGGTACCGGTACTCGAGAACCTTTTTTCCCCATCGGTTGTCGGTTCTTCGAGCTATACGGCCGGCCCATTGCCATTGCTTACTAGTTGGGCTATGTCTTTACTGCGGATATCCTCATTTCTAAGTTTATCACGCAGAGAAACCCCGAGCATAGCCCTCTCCATAGCTCGCTGAGCGACCTTGAGCGTCCTCATACGGCCAGCAGTGAAGGACCACGTCTTAGATCCATAAGTCATCACTGGCAACACGCACTGGTTGTACAATCTAGTTTTGAGATATACCTCAAGTTTAAAAATAAGGTTCGGACCAAGTATTAGGCATTGCAATAAAGATACTGTAATCACTATGCGACGCCTTTATTTTCGGTTCGGATCGGCAATATGCACGCACACACAAGCACACATATAGACAAGAGTGTAGTTGTTCAAAACGACTATAAACCAATAGCACGCTACAAACTCTAAACTATTAATTTCTAGCTCGCTATTAAATACGCTATGTAATAGCGTGCTATTTATAAAACAGCGTGTAAGAGGCCGGCAAGCGCGTTGCGTTTTGCAGCACGCTATATCTCGTAGCACGATACATTACATGTCGTTCGTTGGATAGCTCGCGTGCTAAATATGAACGCTATTTCCTTGAACGAATTAACCACTGGACCCGAAATAAAACACAAATGTGTGAAAACTCGTTCAACCAAGTGGAGAATAACGCAAACAAAGATTTTATTACGTTAATATAAACACAGATACAAAACTCGTAGAAGTTCACTCTATTTCTAGTGCTTGATCGTAGTCGATAAAATATATCGATGAACGAATGAGAAAGAAAAGGCGTAACGTAAATAAGCTGCAAGACAAAGGAAATAAAGGGATAATGAAGGTGAGGTAAGCTTCCGGTATTTAAATTTTAATTAAAATAAAAGAAGCAGGACATTGTTATGGACTTTTTATTCAATTAAAGTTATGATAAACGTCAAATTTTTTAATATAGGGGGGGGGGTTTTTTTTTTTTTTTTTATTGTTTTTTTATTTTTTTTTT